GAGAATTCAGAGTCCAATCTCTGTCTTCAAGCTTTGCCCTGGGGAGGATTCCTGGAACTTCCAAGCTCTACAATACCTATGTATCTTGCACTGTTACCTTTCTGCCCTATTTCAGGAACTATACAATTGCTAGAATCCTTTATTATTTATGTTCTCTTCCTCCAATCACCTTTCTAACAGTATTTCTCCCTGCTCCATTTCATGTTCCAGATTCCACTCTAAAATTTTATTTTTGACCTTCACCTTTCCTGCCTCTCTATCCATGCCTACATTACTTAAGATTTACACAGGTTTTCCCCATCAGAATACCAAACCCTAAATAGACACTTAAAGACTATTTATGGAAAGAACAGTGTGACAAGAAACATTTGTTAACTGTACTACTTTAAAAAGTCATGCGAGGATGTGAAAGGAATCTGTGGTACCTGTCTGTTTAACTCTGCTAAACCAAGTGTTTAAGAGACAGTAACTCTTCAACAGATCTGGCTTTAGGAAACTGAACCTCAGCCCACATTAAAATTACTGTTTGGTGGAAAACCAGCCAGATGACTCTCCTTGGAAAGAAGAGCAACTATCTCCATTTTGGATAAACTTGGCCCTATCTCCATGTATTGATATATACAGAGCTGGCTAAGTTACATCTTCGTCCCTTCAATTGGCTTTAAGCAATGAAAGCTGGTCTGGCTGAGGAGCCAATGTGTCATCTCTGAAGCAAAGCTATAGGTCAGTGTTACCCCTCCCAGTAACTCCCCAAATATGTGGTTGAACTGGGCAGGATGGGGAGAGGTACTCCACACTGTCTACTGGGATCCAGCCTTGTGAAAGAGACTGTGACTTCCCAGGGCAAAAAGGATTGTACATCACAGTTGAAGCACCAACCCCAAATTATCAGATGCTTCCTCAGCTGTGTTATGCAGATTACTGTCCCTGCATTTTTTTCCCCTCTGCTTAGCACAGAGATGGTCTCAGGCCTCCTACGTAGCCCCACTCATTATAGTCATGGCTGTCACATATTTCCCACCATTCCCACAGTCACTCATCCCGAGCAACTAACTTCATGGAGAATTTATTAAATCAGTGTTGGGCTCAGTATGTGGCCTTTGTTCTGGTGAACACCATCTTGGCTGGACTTCAGACCTCTTGGCTCCCCACAACTGTGCATATGTCTTAGTGTCTTTATTTTAGCCTTGGGCTGCACTGGAAGTGTCAGACTGAAATTAACTCATTAGAATTCCAATAACTTCACATGGAATTACAGATGTAAACCTCCCTGGACCATGATTAGGATGGGAAAGGGTTCTCTATAATTATGAATGATGTCCTCTGATATTTGAAATTCTCCACTTTCAGCTCTGACCCTAGCCATTCCCTGTTACACCCTGCCTTCCAGTAGCACAAGGATCTTAGAACTCAGCTACACCATGGTATTTTTCCCTTTTCATACTTTTCTTATCCTAATAACTGCACTCAAAGACCACTGATTTCCTAGTAAAATAAAGTCTGATTTAAAATTCATTTCAATCATTGTTTTTGCTTTTTTCATTTTAAAGAGAAAAAATAGAAAAGATAAAGAATTTCTAAACTGGATAGTAGGAAATTAACCATAATTAATATATTGGGTATTGTTATCTTCAAAATAGTTGCTCATATTACAAGACATAGTCATACAAAATTAATCAAGCCATATAAGCACAAACCATTCTTTTCAATGAAAGAAATTAGTAGTATAATTATCTTGTTATCACATATTTTCTTTTCTTTTCCCTTCTTTCTTTTTTTTTCTGTGAATCATTCTGAGATTCATCCTCCAAGATTTTCAGATCTTTAAATTATAGGGCTGTTATTAGAGCTCAACAAGATAATAACACTGTAGCCAGATGAGCCTTTTGTTCAAGTCAGCTTGAATGTTTTCCAGTTGCCTCAGACTAAATATTTTTTTTAATTTTATTTAAAGAGAAAAAAGAAAGGACATAAAAATCAAAGAGGTAAAAGGGTACAAGTAATACAGAATTTCAAGAAAAAATATACAGCAAGAAATCACTAGTTAATAGGTTACATATTTTCTTCTTAGAAACAGTTGTCCAAATTATAAAATTAAAGCATATAAAGTGGACATTCATGCAGTGATATTAGAGAAAGTTCCATTCAATGATCCAAAAAAAAAAAAGCTCAGTAATATGGTTTTCCATCCTACACACTCAAACATACCTGCGGTTATATCCCTTAGTCCACCTTCCTTTCCTCTCTTTTTTACAATAACAATTACGTATTTTGGGTTTTATTACTCCCACAGTTCTTACTACTTTTTTCGAAGAGAATAAAACCAAACATGACTAAGCAAAACAGAATCAGTTAGAACAGATATTAATAGTGCCCCCTTTCTCCCTCAAAAGTGCCCTGGTTCACTTATAAATGCATGAGAAAGGAAAGTATTGTGTATTTATGTACATTTAGGCTTAACACATGGTGGCTAGAAATATGTTATGCATATAATTCCACAAGCCCAAAAACATCCCTCTGTTAATATGATTGCTCCCTCAGAAAGTTTGTGAAAAGCTCATTTTTTATTCCCGTATCTTGGGGTACAGTTAGTAAGCAACAAATAGTAATTGAACAAATGAATGACAGAAGCTTGCTGATGAAACCTAGACCCAATTCTGGATCTCAGGAAGCCTACTGGAGATACTGTATAAGCTGTTAAGATTCTTAAAGAATATGTGATCCTAGTTCCTAAAACCATGAAACAGGAGTTGTGGAAGTTTATTGGGGTACCAGTGTGCTCTCAACTTATAAGTCAGCATTAGAAAAATAATTTTTGATTGCTACCCAGTAGTTTATAAAATAAATGTATACCATTGTAGAGATTGATAATCATGATCATAATTTGCAGAAGCTAGGGACGCCTCTATAAAAGGATGAGTTTTTGGCTATCTTTAGTCTGGGGTGGTATTAGACTCAATAGCCAGTTTCTGTGCAGTATTGTACAGGGAAACATTGGTTCAAAGATCTGCTTTTGCCTGTGACCCTACTGGGCAGGACCATTACAAGGTCAGTTGGCTGGAGAAACCAGAAAAACTGGAACACACAAAGAAATCAAATATAAGATGGCATTCAAGAGGCTTTTCCAATTTCAGATCATGCTGAAAGGATGAAATCAACTCAAGATAATCACTTTCACTGTGAAACTAATTCTACTACAGTGTTCTATAATCCTCATCCTTTCTAACTTGGACACTAAACAACTATTTTATATTAAAAGAAAGGCCCAACTGAGAATAACGGTAACAGAATATAAGAAAGCAGTGGTTTTTTAATATCTTTCACACCAGGTGGATGACGTTAAACTGATGTCATCGACATTACATTATTATCCTTTATTAATCAGACAAATAAAAATGGTGAAAAAGAAGTCATTTGAGGGTGAATTTTGATATACAGTAAATTTATTTTCAGAGCTGAAAGAATTCTGAGACATAACTCAGATCAACGTGCTGCCCATCAAACGTTCTATTTATAAATGAAAGAAATGGGGTTCATAAAATAACCTTCCATGTATGCACACTAATTTATAATATCAATATTACGTATTTTCTTTTACATATACTTACAAGAGGCAATAATACTGACAGGTAAAATAATAAGAATACATATTTTATGACAATAGACTACTTTGTAATTTATTTACTCTATACTGTTGTTGCACTGTGATAGTGTATTTTCTCTCCACAATGTCCTTAACAGTACCATAAACCCAAATAAGTGTTAAGAGAAAATTATGTAACTGGATATTAAATAATGTACAGGAATAACATTTCATGCTAGGTTGTATCTAACACTGAATGTAGCATACAATTGTCCACTTAACATTATTAAATTTCTATTTCCATGTTATGTCAAAGGAAACAAACATAAGATCAAAATTTTGCTTGAAGATTCTTGGATTGTATTTAGTTTAGAGTCAGAAGTGTCTGGATCATATTATTTATTTTAGTCCACTAAATTCCTGATTATTATCAACTGCCAGCCAGTCAAAAATGCATGAAATATTAAGCTAGTTGGTACAAATAATGAACTGTTAAAAAGAAAATATTCATTTCCACTGTTTTTTTTACAAGTTTTGCCTTAATATGACCTCATGAGAATGATTTTGCAAATAGTATAAATTACCAATTTATCAGTTTTCTGAGTTGAGAGGGAATTTTTGTAAACAATAGCTTTCAAATTGCATACCTCCACAGACTTTTTATTTCTCTTTTCAAATATATTGCTAAGTTTCTAAAGCATACACAGCTAGTTTTTTAGATGATGTTAGGGACAACATCAAATATCTTTTGATTTAAATATGTTTTTCAGAAAAAAAAATGGTGAGTGCATATTTGAAACAAAACTGCAGCTATTAAGCAAACATATAAAAGGGTTAATTATTGGTACAACAAGGAAAATATAAAAAATAACAAAAACTACTCTGTAATGAAACTGACTAATCAGACATATGGAGAGATGAAACTGTCAGAAAACTGGGGGGAAAGATAGAGTTTAGGTGAAACTGAGGTACTTTTTGAGTGTTTCCTGGACCCATTCTAAGGGAAGATTGCATGTGTGCAAAACAGCACCAAATCTAACACTAAAATCAGATGCATGCAGAGTCCTGATTCCTTATCAACTACAGAGGTAACACAAGCATGGGATGCCGCATCTAAAGACACTCTGAAGTTCAACACATGTATTGGAAATAGATTTCTCTATACCAAAGTGACTCAGGTACTCTGAGAGGGAGACCTGATTCAGAGCCTAGGATGTCACACAAGCACAGAGCGCCCTTCCCTCCGTGAGGCCAGTTGCTGGGAATTGTAAGGCTCCACAGAAACACTTCTTCCTGTTGAGTTTATAGGTGGATGTTGAATGTCTTTCAGGAAGGCCAAGCTAGTTTTCTTTCCCCTTCTCACTCAGAAGGTAGCTTTGTCAGGTCAGCAGGAAGCATGGTGCCTGCTGAGCACCTCTCATGCTCTCTGCTTTGTAAGAACTCTCTTCAGAGCTCCTTTCACGTCCTGGTTCCTCAGGCTGTAGATCAAAGGGTTGAGCATTGGTGTGACCACGGTGTAGAACACCGCGATGACCTTGCCCCCAGCCCGTGAGGACTTGGACTGGGGTCTCATGTACATGAAGATGGCTGTGCCATAGAACAGGGCCACCACTGTCAGGTGGGAGGCGCATGTGGACAGTGCCTTGTGCCTCCCGGAGGCTGAGTGCATCCTCAGGACAGACAGAAGTATCCGGACATAGGAAACAACAATCAGAAGGAAAGGAACAAAGACGATGATGATGCTAAAGATAAAAACAACCAGCTCTGTAAGTGACGTGTCAGTGCAAGCCAGCCTCAGGACCGAGGGCACCTCACAGAAGAAGTGGTCAAGGACATTGGGCCCACAATAGGGCAAGGTCACGGTGAGGACATTGATGACCATGGAGCTCAGGAAGCTACTGCACCAGGACACAGCTGCCAGTTGGACACAGGTGTTTCGGTCCATAATGACAGTGTAGTGAAGAGGATGGCAGATGGCTACATAGCGGTCATAAGCCATGACACCCAGAAGCACACATTCAATCATCCCAAAGGCCAGAGAAAAGTACATCTGAGTAGCGCAGCTGGAGAAGGGAATAGTCTTCTTGCCCCCTGCCATGCTGGACAGCATTTGTGGTACATTGGTGGAGGTGTAGCAAATGTCCAGAAAAGACAAGTTAGTGAGGAAGAAGTACATGGGGGTTTGGAGACGAGGCTCTATGTGGATAACAATGATGATGATAACATTCCCAGTCACCGTTAATAAGTAGAAGAATAGGAATAGAACAAAAAGAATGAGCTGGGTCTTAGGCTCAGATGAAAGTCCTAGGAATAAAAACTCAGTCACAGTAGAGTTCATTTTCCTTTTATCCATTTTCCACACCAGCACTGTTCCAGAATCACCCACTCACCTATAGACAAAATCAAGTTCCTGATATGTAAATTAGAAGGCTAAAGAGAATAAGAAGGAAAAGAGAAATCTTGGTCTGAGATTCCTCATAGTATTCAGGCCAAGCCTAAGTTTCTTGACTTTCACAAAATGTGATCAGGGATGCTTTCTGAATGCTTAAAATGCAAACAACAGTAGAAGCCATTTCTAAGGATTTTAAGAATAAATAAAATAATGTGTTCAAAAAAGCTTAATGACTACACATAACAGGAAGTCCTACGTTTCTTGGAAATTCAGTTCCCTAATAACAGCTACTTTGGTTAGAACAATGGTTAAAAGATCAGACACACTAAAGTGATGAGGTCCATTTCCTGAAAGCCTGTTAGACTCCACCCTGTGCTTCTGTGCCCTCAGTTGAAGCACTGTGTTAGTAATTTTCACTCTTTTCTTCTTCACAGTGTTTAAGTAAAACAACCTAGAATGATACAGGCTCCTGAAGAAGCCTAAATATTATCATAGTCCTAACACTAGGGGGAGGTGGCAGGCTTCACCTCCATCCCCTTGTCCCTTCTTTCTTTTTTCTCACCTTTTAGGTTTGTGTTGCTGCTATGCTTTGTTTGTTTTTTGATCTGTAGCTAATTCTCCTTATTTGTATAGTGAGACCAAAGTGGCATCAAGCTCAGAGCGATGACAGCAGGATCCAATGAGGTAACATACAGGACAACAGGGTCAGGCATAGACAATAAAAGCTCAGTGCCTGATAAAGGTCTTCAGAATGCCAGGTGGTCTTCATCAGAGGATTTGTATTAAGTGCACAGCACAAGGATTATTAGCAACCAGCAAAGAATAAATAATGGGGAAATGTATGTCATTAATACATGAAGAAATTTGTCAAGATTATTTGGGTAATTACTAAGCACATGTACGAGCATCTGCAACATCCATGTACCCAGTGTGTCTACATCATCAACACCACTGTATGGGAACAAGACCACATAAAAATAACAGCCTTTGCTCTCTGCCCATATGCATTTAAACAAAGCAGGGCAGCTGAGAAGGAACATAAATATTTTGGTCCAGCTACCAAAAACAGCTCATGTTTGGAAAATTCGAACAACACAGGACAGTCCCGCAATTCCTGGGGCTGCAGTGCCTGAAGGATCCTCTTCAGTTACTCCCGTGATGGTGACCACTGAGAGCCAACAAGTTCTCAGTGTTAGACCCACCCAGTTCCCATCAGAACACACAGCCTTTTATCCTGCACACAAAGCTTCTGTGAAGAACAAATATACTTAGAGAAAAAGATTGAAGCCAGAAAGCAGAATGTCAGGCCATTGTCCACTTTAGGTCAGGTTATTTGGCATCAGATAAATACAGAACTTAAGCATCTTCTGTATTATATGAATGAGTGATTAATATTTCCATTGTGCAAATTACAGGATGAAATGTAAAATATTTCAATCAAATTAGCCAGGTTCAGTATGCCTACATAATGTCAGAGGTCGCAAAAGCTAAGTCTAATCCTTTTAATACACATCAATTATTGAAGTGAATATACAGTTATCTCCAATGCATTACTAAATCATTGCCTCTTTTCAGATAAACGCAATAAACAGCAGTAATGTTACTGGGTTTTAGTAACACTTTATTTTCCCAGAACAATTTGGTGAAGTAATACAGTGTATGGGTTAAAAGCATACACTGCCTCTATACAAAAAAAATTATAATATGAATTCTGATTCCATCATTTTGCATGTGATTATTTAGAGGAAATTTCTAAACTCCTTTAAACTCATATTTTCCTTGTATAAAGCAAGAACTAGGCAGTCGCTTAATTCATGAGATTACCTTGGTGATGATGGTAGAAATTGCAGCTAGAAGTTTTAACAAAATGTCTGGCACATCATCATTTCTTGATAAATTGTGAAAAGTTGTATTTTATAGAATCCAAGTTGATTCAATTTGCTATAAATTAAATTGAGATCTCAGTTTGGAAAGTCTTTCGGATATAATAATATGCCACACGATTCTATGGTAATCAGTGGAAGTCTTCTTAGAGTATAGTCATGGAAAGTCTTCTTAAATTCATCCCAGCCACCTCACTACTATGTATGATGTTTTCATTGAGCATTAGTTCATTAGTAAATAAAAATCATTGTTAATAATCATTGTTAAAACTAGTAAGAACTGAGATGTTAAACGAGAAGGAATAATAAAGATTATATATCACCATATTACCATAATTAACTAAGAATATTAAAGGAGTTTACCAAGTACACAAAATATGACTTACTAATGAATCCATCACTAAGGTATGAAATCGTTATAACTTTATGAAATAAAGACATCATTTGAAGTGCTCAAGAATTACACTGTATATCATAACTTTTCACTTAGTGTTTCACAAATTCTATTTAATAAATAATTGGGATCAGTGTTTGAAAAAACTGGGAGTAGGAAAGAGAATGTGAAGACAGGACTCCTGGAAGAAACCTAACAGAGAACTCAGCAAGAGCTCCACGCTGGAGAAAATCAAAATGAATATTAATACCTTTTGAGTCTCACCAAAGGCTAACAAATTACCTTTTCCCCCAGTCAAAACCTTTTTGGATAAGAATAACATCACAAAGAATAAAGCCAACATTAATAGCTACCTACTAAGATTTTCTATTATATAGTAAACATTTTATTATTTGTTTTGCAGATAGATGGTTGATTTCAGTTTCCCAGGAACTCTGAAATACATTTATACTCACTTAAAATGAAGATATGAAGATCAGAATCTTTATACAACTTTATCAAAATACTTAGTAGGTCATGATTTTAACTCAAATCTAAGGAATTCCAATATGCTCTTTCACTAACTCAGAGTTTTAGATATTAAATCATGTTACCATCATTTTAACAGACTCTGTGAATACAGGCATCTGGAGAAAACATACCTGAAGTCATAAGCAGCACAAGGCAACAGTCTGTTTAACGCACGTCTTCTCCCTATGTGCATGTGAATAAAAGCCTACAAAGGCAAAAAAGGTGACACTGATGTGAAAGAAATACAACCCTGTGGATACAAAATAAATCTCCTTTCATAACTACAAATAAGATATGCTATCATTCAATTCATCCCTTTATTGGGTTTTAAAAGTAAGATGAATGCAGATGAAGTAAAATTTCTGTCACCTGAGATTTTTTTTTTCATTTTATGGCCTTGGGCTGAATTTTAAAATCTTCAGGGAAAATGTCCCAGACTAACAATTAAAATGTAATTATTTTTGTGGGAATTCTTGGCTGATGCATTTGTTTGTCACTTGCCCTCCACGCTCTTCTTCTCCTGAAGATGAACATTTTCCATGCTTTAAACTCATGATTTCTGAAAGGACTGTCCCTTCACTTCTGCATTGCTTAGCACTCCTGGACCTACATAATTGTGCACATGTAAGGGGTACAATAAGATGTCTTGATCTATGTATGCCCTTCATAAATATTCAATAAAACTAATTAACACATATATAACAGAGCTCACTCAAATGTTTTTATTTGTTTGTTTGGTACCAGAAATCAAACTCAAGACCTTGCACTCACCAGGCAGGTGCTGTACTGCTGAGCTATATATCTCCTGCCCTCAAATATTTTTCTAGTCTAACTGAAGCTTCTTACCCTTTGATCAACATCACATCTTTTCCAATCCTTTCTTCCTGCCCCAGCCTCTGGTAACCAGCTTTCTATGCTCTGTTTTGTGGTTGTTGTTGTGTTTTGAGACAAGGTCTCACTATGCTGTTCAGGCTGGCCTTGAGCTCACTTTTTGGCCCAGGTTGATCTTGGGCTCACAACCATCCTCCACCCTCAGCCTCTCAAGTGCTGGGGTTAAAGACTTGCACCACCATACTCGGTTTATGCTGTTTTTATGACATAAAATGCTTAAGATTTCCTGAATAAGCGTGCTCATTTGGAATTTACTCTTTGGGTCTGGATTATTTCACTTAGTATGATGTTTTCTAGTTCCATCAACATTACTTCAAATGCCAGTATTCCTTTTGTTTTTCAGGCTGTATAGTGTTGTGTTGCATACATATATACCACATTTTCCTTACCCTGTCACTCATTAAGGAATAGATTGCTTCCATATGTTAGTTACTGTACACAATGACAAAATGAATGTGAGTACAAGTCACATCAATATATTAATTTCACGGCAAGGAGTAAGATTACTTGATTATAATCTTTTTCTATTACAGATTTAGGACAAAAATTATGTATATAATTTGGGGGATTAACTCATGACCTTGCGCTTGCCAGGCAGAAGCTTATGCCACTGAGCTAAATCCCTGGCACTACATAATGTTTTTAAAAATGGCCAGACTAATTTATATTTCCAGGGCTGTTGATTTAGCTCAGTGATGTAAATTCCTGCCTGGTAAGCACAAAGTCATGAGTTCAATCCCCAGTACTAATAAATAAATAAATAAATAAATAAATTTATATTTCCAATAGTGTACAAGTATTCTGTCTTCCATCTTGTTACTTAAATTTATGTATTTTTTTGTTGTTAATAGCAGATAGTTACTTCAGTAATGAAGGGTAAGAAACAATTCCTTCAGGCTGAAATGCTACCATTCAAGTAGAACAATCGCAAGATTGGTTAGAGTGCTTTTTGGGTCTTAGGACTGGAAATTTACTCAACAAATATTATTTGTCCTTAATCTGAGCTGACTATGGATCAAGCACAGCCTGGCAACATAGCAACATGGAAAGTCCTTGTCCTGAAATGAATACTATCTAAAAAAAAAAAAAAAAAAAGAAAAAAAGTGGACTTGGAATGTATCTCAATGCAAAGCCTTGGGCTAAATACCACTATCAAGAAAGAAAGAAGGGAGTGGGGATTTAGCTCAGTGGAGCAAGCACTCACCTGGCAGGTGGGAGATCATGAGTTTAACCCTTGCTACAAAACAAACAAACAAACAAACAAACCAGAAGGAAGAAAGAAG